TAATACTACTACTACTACTACTACTACTACTACGACTACTACTACTACTACTACTACTTCTACTACTACTACTACTACTACTACTACTACTACTACTACTACTACTACTACTATTACGACTACGACTACGACTACGACTACGACTACGACCACGACTAGTACTACGACTACTACTACTACTACTACTACTACTACTACTACTACTACTACTCTTACTACTACTATTACTACTACTACTACTACTACTACTACTACTACAGCAACAACAACAACAACAACAACCATAACGACAACAACAGCAACAACAACAGCAACAACACCAACATCATCATCAGCATCATCCACAACAACAGCATCGACAACGACAACGACATCGATAACAACAACGACAACAACAACAACAACAACAAGAACAACAACAACGACAACAACAACAACAACAACAACAATAACATCAGCATCTACAACAACAACAACAGCAACAACAGCAACATCAACAACAACATCCTCATCCTCATCATCATCATCATCATGATCATCATCATCATCATCATCATCATCATCATCATCACCAACAACAACAACAACAACGACAACGACAACAACAACGACAACGATGATAACAACAGCAAACCCAACAAAACAAACAAAAAATGAATACGACGCTGGAGATCTAGGGAGAGGGGGGAAGGAAGGGCAGGAATCAGTCAGCATCGAATCGGGAAGTCGGACTGGATCGGAAAGTACGTCGCATCGGGCCGCATTGACAACGTTCCATAACATACGGCGCGCTCCGGGAAACCTTGCTCCAAAATGTTGACATCTCTTGGGGGGCGCACCTTCGGCGGTGGACAAACCTCCCTTTGGTAAACCTCCCTTTAGTGAAAACGGCCTAGGACCGAAACCGATGGGTCTGGACCCGCAAAAATGACGGCCGCGACGCCCCCTCGCGAACCGAAAACGGCCAATTCGCTAATCGACGTGTCAGGGTAGTAAGTCTATCAACCTCCGACATCTTTTACTTCCGCCGGATTCCGCGGGCGTTCGGCCAAAAGAGACCCTGACCGCAAGGCGTTGACACCTATTCGGGGTCGACCTTCTGCTTCCGCCGGCTTCCACGGGCCTTCGGCCCGCCTCGCCTCGGCAGAGAAAGAGACGACAGCTTCTTGCTCCCTCCAGGGTTGCGGTCAGGAATTTCGGCACGTCACGAAAGAAAACACAGACACCCTCCAACGATGTTTGCATGTGCCTTCAGGGAGGGTGGCGGTGTAGAAAGTTGCTGGTTCTCAGTGGTGATTTATACACCACAACCCCCCTGAGGCCTAGGAACCATCTCCTGAAGGGTGTCTGTGTACATTTTGTTGTGGCGGATTTTGCATAGCGTATCGCAGCGGCGGCCCAGGCGACAAGCGATGGCTTGCAAGCGGAAAGCGCGTCGCTCCGCTCCGCGGGGCGGGAGACGTGGTGGGCCAGAGCCCGCAGAGCGACACGCTATGCCAAAAAAACCGGCCGCACGCCGTCTGGAACGCCTCAGCTAGTGACTGGCCAGCGCCGGCCGACAGACCGCGGTCGGCAGCCTGCGGGGGCGGCAACAGCGCTATCCTCGGCCTCGCCAACCTCGCGCGCCCGAAGAGAGAGGGAGAGAGACAGCTCCTCCTCCTCCTCCTCCTCCTCCAGCTCCTCCTCCTCCTCCTCCTCCTCCTCCTCCTCCTCCTCATCCTCCTCCTCATCCGCTTCCACCTCCTCCTCCTCCTCTTCCTCCTCCTCCTCCTCCGTAGCCATTTTGGCTCAAGGTAGGCGTTCCGGGCTCGAGCGTTTCTCGGGCCTTGCAGGGATCTTCTTCGAAACGCCAGCAGTCCCTGCGAGCCATGGGAGTTCGGTGGTGCTGACGAGTGACGAGTTCACCGGGGGTGCGAAGCTGAAGTCCGACGACGCCCTGTTCGTGGTGCAGGTCGATGCCGATGTCGTCAGCGGGCGCTCTGAGGTGTTTGCCGCGCAGGACTCGCACGCGATCGTGGACCTGGATGCGATTAAGGCCCCGGTAGTAATCAAGGGTCTCGAAGTGATCCAGGACCTGGAGGTGAGCGCCGTCATCATCGACTACCTGGAGGTGAGCGGCGTGATCTGCGAGTGCCTGAAGGTGACCAACATGTTTTGCGAGTGCATGGAGGTGACCGTCCCGACCTTCGCGTGCCTGGAGGTGCCCGTCGGCATCTACGAGTGCATGGAGGTATCCATCGACATGGTCGAGTGTGAGAAGGTGATGGACGTGATCCTAGGCCTGGAGGCCATAGTGGGACTGGAGGGGATCCAGGGCCTGGCAGTGGTCAAGGGCCTCGATGCGTCCGTCGGTGTTCCAGGGCCTGGAGATGGCCATCGTGATCTTCGTGTGCCTGGAGGTGACCATCAATGTTCTCGCGTGCTCAGAGATGACCGTTGTCTTTGTCGTGTGCCTGGGAATGATCGTGCACATGGTGGACCGCAGCCTGGGCCTCCCCAGCTCCCTGATGAAGTTGGAGGTGACAGCCGTCGGCTTCGGGTGCGTGGAGGTGCCCTCCGTGATCCTGGGCCTGGAAGTGGTAGGGGGCCTCGGCGTGGGCGAGGACCTGGTGGCGATCAAGGGCCTGGAGGTGTTCAAGGGCGCTTGAGTGGCCATCGTGTTCTTCGTGCTCCTGGAGGTGGCCGTCGTCCTTTTCGCGAGCCTGGAGTTCGTCAGCTCCGAGTGCCTGGAGGTGACCGTCGTGATCTTCGCGTGCCTGGAGTTGACCGTCGTCTTTGTCGGATGCCTGGAG